TTTTTTTTTTTAAAACAATGCCTGTGCAGACAAGAGCCAGCTTCCCCTAGAGGCAGCTTGAGACTTGCAAATCAAGATCACAGAAAGGAGTTTTCCCACCGCTCTATGGCAAGATATCCAGACCAGATATCACAACCACATGGGAATCTGTCTGTGCCCAAGAGAATGGGCAAGATACATGCTCTTTCTCAATGGCCCACAACCTCTCTGTGTGAAATATGAATACACTTTCACAGACACAAAACCAAGCATGTTATTGAACTCACTGTGAATTGTCCATTCAAAGACAAATGCTAGAGTGCTAAATGACTTCCTTACAGCCCCTCGTAGATTCTGTCCTGAGACCTAAGCTTTAGGCACCTACCCCTGGGTTTCCACAGCACCTCAAACAACACTGCCTGACATTACATGCAGCATCTTCTCAAATCAGATCTTTGAACTATGTTCCCTAGAATCACGCTGCCATCTACCCAGGCTGGAAACCTCAGCCTCATCTTAGGCAATGTCTTTTTCTTTCTTTCTCATTTCCCTACTACTCAGTCCCACACCTTCCTCCAGATTAGACTAAACAATCACAGAAGTCTTTCACTGTGTTCTTGAATAGAATTTATTCTATTCTCCAATATATCCTTCTCCAATATATCCTTCATGTTGCCCCAGAATTATCTGATCAAAACAGGTTGGGTCATGACACTTCTTCAGGGCTCCCTCTCACCTGCAAAATAAATTCTACACTCTTTAGCATAAGATTCAAGGCTGTTCACTGTCATACCTTGTATTATTAGTTGGAAAGCATTTATGAATGAGAGATATGAGAGATGCTGAACTGGAAATGACTTAAGCCATGAGAAATACTTATTTTCTCACTTAACAAGAAATCTAAAAGTCTCGGGGTCCAGGGCGGGTTTATTTAGCACAGCATAAGCACCCAGTAGCTTCCACTATTCTGCTCTGTCATCCTCAGCATGGTGTCTTTTATCCTCATGCTCAATTGCTCTTCAACTCCAGGTGATTGCTGTGGCTCAGACATCACACCCTCTCTCTCATAACCATGCAAAAAAAAAAACACATCCCTTCTTCTGCAGGAAAACCTGCCCATGAGCCCCCTTATATCTCACTGGCCAGAACTGTATCATACCAGTCACAGGCAAGGAGATAGAAGTACTGTTTAAGTATTCATGTTTTGAAACCAGAGTTCTTTCAGCAAGAAAGAAAGGAAGCAAGTATGGGGGGCGGGGTGGCGGGGGGCAAGGGTGTGTTTGGAGTGGCCACTGTTAGTATCTGGTACTAACAGTGGTAATCAGTATCTGGTATCTGGTAATCAGGCCCCTGATCACTGGAATTATTACTGTTCTCAAAATTGTGTGTCATTTTTTTCACACATTCTCCTGCCTTACCAATATGCCCGCAATGCCTTCCTGTGCTTCAATAACCCATGACTCTTCACAGCCTGTTAGGTTCCAAGCTGCTTCCAAGACAGCACTCAGCCTCAGTCCTGCAGCAGGTTTTGGGTTTATAGGGCATTTCTCACTTTGGTTTCTTTCTACCCTTTTTCTACATTTGACTTCTGTTCTGGTAGAATATAGGGCTCTATTTCCATCAGTCTTGTCCTTGCCATGGCCTTTATCACTGTGTCTTAAATCTAGTGATACATGTTGAATGTAAATTAATAAATTAATATCACACCTGTTTGGTTTTCAGGGCTGTGCTACCAGCATAGTCTCCCAAGATGGTGAGCAGAACGGTCTTATGGGGAGAGTGGATGAAGGTGTAGATGAATTTTTCACCAAGAAGGTGACCAAAATGGATTCCAAGTGAGTTCAGAGTCATTTCACTAATCACACCATTTAATTCACACTTAAATTACTAACAGTTATAATTTTAAACTTAGTATGCACTAAGGCTCTTATTTCATAAGTGTATAAAATAGACACATTTAACAGAGGATTTACTTTCCTGGTGGTTTGCAGGACCACCATCAATTGGGAACTTGTTAGAAATGGGCATTCTCAAGCTTGTACCCCAGACCTACTGAATCAGAAACTTGAGGTGGGGGCTGACAACCTGTGTTTTAATAAGCCCTCCAGGGTATACTGAGGCAAACTCAAGTTGAAGAACCACTGTAATATCTAAATTGGAACACAGAATGTATCTCCCCAAGGTTTTTTTTTTTTTTCTTCTTTTAGGGCTTTATTACATTCATCTGGATGTATCTCAGACAATGAGATACATTTGGCAGGCTGAAATTACTAACAGTGGACCCTTGAACAGTGCAGGTTTGAATGGCTTGGGTTCACTTATTTGTGGATTTTTTTCAATAGTAGATACTTTGGTACTACACAGGCCCTGGCTGGTTGCATCTGTGGATGTAGACAAACTCAGATACTGAGGACTGTCTCTGTGAATTAATTCCCTTATTATTCAGAGGTCAACTGTATTTTTAAATTCCCCATGTTTATAATTTGATATGTCTGGGAGCACACATCATTCATTGCTAAGTAGCACCGCTTTACCAGAGTCAGAACAACAACAGAATTAGTAAAGAGGCTTCAGATTTAGCCTCTGAAAAGTTCTGTCTGAATTTTCTTATTACCAAGATGGAGTTTCCTTAGAAGTCAACTCAGTGGTACTTTTATTAACAGCTTAACTTGAAACACTCCAGCCTTTAAGCATGACTTGTACCAAGTTGTTTAATCTCCAACTAAATGCAGATCCATTCCTAAGTACACTCTGAATAAGGATTTGTGTCGGTGAAGTGTTCTTCACCTGAGATATCAAATCCAGGAACTAATTTAAACCATCCTGATAAGTGGAGGGTGGGCAGGCTGGGCAGAGGGAAGGAAAACTGGTCCATTCTGTAGATTGATGTGCCTTATCTTGCCTTTGCAGGATGGCAAGGTGGGAGCAAGTCAAACTTTTATATCCATAACAGTATAACTTACTGAATGTTACAAGCTTTAGGACCCAATTATTTATCTCCTTTGACACTGGCCTTGAAGCTTGACATACTGGGGAAAATTCTATTCTCTCCTTCAAGATCCAATGTAAATATCATTTATTCTTTGAAGCTTTTCTCTCCCTCATCTCTTCCCCAATTAACAGCCCTTGTCTATTGCTGACTTGACGCTTTTTTTCTTTTCATCTCCTGTATACATCTGTTAGAGCAACATAATCCCTTGAGGTTTTTTGTTTTGTTTTTTCTTTTTTACATTGTGGGGAATGGATGAACATAGTCTCAATGCAAAAGATTCAGGAAGTAGCAACATAAGCTGAGCCAAATGGGGAAATCCCTCTTAATGATTTGTTTTCAAGTCTTTTCTTCCTATAGAATATTGTCCTTCACAAACAAATGCCTGGGTCTGATTGTTCATTATAACTTCTGTGTCTGACACAGCCCGTAATGTATAATCTGCCTTCAGACACTCTTGGTTGAATGAATCAAGACAATCTTGGCCTGTGTCTGTATAAACAGATAATACTGTAGGCTCTCCTCGTCCCCAACTTTTGATGTTGAATTAGTGGAGCGGTCTGTGCATATTCAATCCTGATCATATGTGTTGTCATTGCCAGGGGACCCCCTCTGCCCTTAAAGTCGCCTCCTCCTCTAATAAGCCCAGTGAAAGCTGGGCAAACTTTATAAGGTGTAAAACCCACTTTCTACAAATATACTGCTTTAGGAGGATTCTCTTTGTGTTCCAGTACACAAATAGAACTAGGTGCATCAATTTTCATCAAATAATGGTGGAATCTACTAGAAGTTGTGATTTGTTTCATTTCTTTTTGTTTCTAAAAACAGATCGTTGTCAGTTTGCTATGTAAAGGTCCAGGTATAGGTCAAAGCATCAAGTAGTATGAAGGAAGTTTGAAAATCGAAGTTCCACATGCTCCTCATAGTTTAAAATGTCAGAGGTGTTTTAAGGTGTTTAAGAAAAAAGAAAGAAAAAAAGACCTTGTTTCTTTCCCTATTCCCCAGAGGGGAATTTCCCTATTCCTTTAGCTGTTTTATAATTTTGTTTCCATAGTTCATAATAACTTTTTTGTTGTCGCTATTTCTTTATTTTTCAGTTTTAAATAGTGACCATAACTAGTGGCTTCTTACTATAGAGGATGATAATGTAGCTCCTACATAGTCTGACCCTACTGCCCACCAAATGCCTGAAGGCAAACACACACACACTTTTCTATTTTTTCATCTTTTTCTTATCCCTCCCTGACTCAACTCTTTGAGATTTTCTCAGTCTTATCTTCCAATCTTGAGTTTTCCATTTCCACTATCACATTTTTCATCTTAGCTATGTCATAATTGTTGGTTACATCAGTATTTAATGTTTACTTCATTATAAGCATGTAAATGTTCATAGCTGGGTTATATAATATGCAGTGATTATATTTCCTTTCCTTTACAACTTTGTATTTTCCTTGGAGTTAATAATTGTCCCCTTTTGCATTTGCTTAGTTTTCTGTATCCCTGTCACTGAGATACCTTCTAAATCTCTGTAAAGGTATGAATGTTCTCTCAGTTTCCTCGGTTTCATCTTCTCAGTTTCATCTTCCTGGGCACGTACTTCACTACTGTCTGACCATCCCAGCCTGGGCTTTAGGTCTGGTCCCTGTTGTCCTCCTGGGATTCCCACTTCACCATCTGCTGGGGGGTCTCTCCTCACTCATTCCTGTGTCTTTCCTGTTTCCTTTGGCCGGGTTATCCTCTTCCTTACTTCACTCTTGTTTTGGGGCAGCACCTCCTCTGGTTACTTGCTGAAGAAGGAAGCACAGGAGGTGAGTTTCTGAAACTCATATGTCTTGTATTTTGGTTAATACTGTGACAGCTACAGAACTTTAGATTGGAATCCATCTTTCTTTAGAATTTTGAAAACTTGGTCCCCTTATCCTCTTACTTCTAATGTTGCTCTAAGAATCCAAGGACTTCTTAATGTTGCTCTAAGGACTCATCTTGAGTCCTCATCCTTTGTTTGTGGCTTGCTTTTCTGCTTCTCAGAAAGTATTTGGGATCTTCTCTCTGTTCTTAGTATATTGACATCTTATGATGATATGCTCTATGTGGGTTTTTTTTATCTTGTTTTGTTAAAACCCATTTGTAAGGCACTCATGAGCTATTTCAATCTGGAAATTTGGGTCCTTTGGTTCTGGAATTTTTCTTGAATTATTTTTCATAATTGCTTCCTTTTCCTCTATATTCTTTTACTTCTATTATTCAAACTGTATTTCTTCTCTTTTTTTAACTGTTTCTCTTCTGTTTTTTCATCTTTTTCTTACCCCTCCCTGCCTCAACTTTCTGGGAGATTTTCTCAGTCTTACCTTCCAACCTTGAGTTTTCCATTTCTGCTATCAGATTTTTCTGTTATTCTTGTTTCATGGAGTTTATTAACACATGTACCTCCTATATACATGGGAGATACCCAGAGACACTGAGTAACTCCTCGAAATGGCCCACAGCACCACATTAAATACCAACTTCAGCTAAAGACGGAAGAAAGAGTTTGGAGAGGTTGTCGTAAACCAGGAAAATAAGGGGTAAGGTTGTTATTGCAGGTTTAGGTCCCGGCCCTTCTCTGTGGATAAATTTCTACGGATCCTAGTCACCCTCTTCTCCTGGTATGGAGAGGTACACACCCTTACACATGGTGATTTTCCATATAAATGTGTATTTCTCTTACAGAAGAGAAATTTCCCCTGTCTCTGCTGTTTCTTAAAAATAACCAGCCTAAAATGATCCTATGCCACAAGCATATTATGGGATGGCACATTCTGTTTACCTTCACCTGAAATCCATTTGTTTCTGGGCCTTCCCAACTAATACTTCAGGGGTGAGCTTTCCCAGATTTATGAAGTCAGTTTCCACTCCTAACTGTTTTGGCTTCCAAACTATTGTTTTTGCTTTTTATCCTCTCTGGGGCTTAGGCCTTTTTCCTTTTTTAAAAAAATTCTCCTGCTGGGATTTTCCTGGGGACTCAGAGGAGCTACATGGGTACCTTCCAGTTTTAAGTGAAAGGTTCTCATGATACTTCGCATTCAGCCCAAATCATTTACTTTCTCCCCATCCATTTCCCAAGTTTCTGAATGTTCAGAATATTCTGAAAAACCTCTCCCAAAGCTCATTGGCTGCTTTTTCATGTCATTGCCTCTTTCCATGGTATTACATTTCTTTTGGTTTTGAATAGTGCTTTTTATTTTTATAATTTATTTTTACATTTAAGCAAGGATCTGGATCTTGGTTTGAGTTGAGCACTTAGGGCAGGATTTCAGATGTTATCTAATGATTGTGGAGGGATTACAGGCACTTAAGGGGAAATCTGGGCCTTTCCAGAGCCTCCAAATTAAATAAGGCAGTCAGCCATCTATGCTGTGAGTGGAGCTATCTCTTCTAAAAGTTCTTGTGAGTGGAGAGGCACTTGACTATAGCATTTAAACAGAAAAAACTCACCTCTGCTCTCAGTCCTCCCAATAATACCTTCAGATTCTCATTCTTAATTTTTATGTGCGTCAGTTTCCTCACCCGTGGATATGATGATGATATTCAACCTTCCCATTTCCAAGTCAAGTTTTTAAAATGTTTCAGAATTGTTGCTATATAAGCAGCCGTCTCCCTATTTCTATTTTGAGTGACTCTTACTGAAGCTTTAATTACAGTAAACCCAACAGGATTTTCTTTTGAATCACAGGCGATGGTCAGCGAGGGGCTCAGAGTCCCACGAGCTTAGTGAAGGAGGAGATGAGAAGAAAAAACGCGACTTTCGGAAAACTGGTTTTCTCAATTTAATCAAACCCCGGACCAAACCTGAGAGGTCCTCCACACTCTTGACAGCAGAAGAATTCTCCTCCCCCAAGGCGGGAGTCAGAAGTCCAGCTGTGGATGCCCCCAGGAAGGACACGAAGCCAGCCGAGCACAACGGCAGTGCTGATCGGATGGAGGAGATCAAAACACCCGACTCCCTGGAAGAAAGTCAAGGGGAAGACGTGGGGAAGGTGGACCGGAGTGACAGCAAGGGCAGCCCCCAGGGCGGGCGAAGGTACGGGGTCCAGATGATGGGCAGCGGGCTGCTGGCGGAGATGAAAGCCAAGCAGGAGATGAAAGCCAAGGCCGCTTGCTCGCTGAAGGTAAGGGAGGGGGGGTCTCTTTTGACTTGCTTGCCTTTGTCATTTTTATCTCCACGCAGTTTTTATGGGCAAGACAGGTACAGGGAAACAGCCTATGAGTTTAATAAAAATCCCCAACCAAATGGCTCTTTCCTAAAGGACGCAGAGCACAGACAGGACTGGCCATGTTTCCCGCCAGCACTAGGGTCATGCACCCTGAAGAGCCTCAGGCTTGGAAGGTCGGGCAGCAGCTGAAGGTCCGCATCTCACCTGCCCAGGTGCTCCCGCCCTGTCACAGAAACACGTGGCAGCTGTGCCAAGGACGTGCTCCACTCTGGGGAAAGCGGAGAATCCAAACGGAGACCCAAGGGCCACTGGAGATAGCAGAACTGACAGGCAAATAAAATGATTGAAACCAGATTCTAGTTCTATCCAGGGAGATGGTTTCCACTTATTTACAGAGTGTATGTCCTTTTCCAAACCTGAAAGTTCTTTGCTAAATTCAAGGTTTAAAAGGCAAAGTATTCTGTTAGAATTAATTGGATACTTGACCATGGAGATGTGTTGCTATGAAGACACACTTTATCACTTAAAAACTACTGAGTACCCCCAATGCGATGGACGTGAGTTTGAGTAGGCTCCGGGAATTGGTGACAGGGAAGCCTGGTGTGCTGCAGTCCATGAGGTCGCAAAGAGTCGGACATGACTAAGCGACTGAACTGAACTAAGTACCCCCAAATCTGACGTCATGCATTACTTATTTCTGAACCTCTACTAAAAGTGTAAGTTGTGTATTTTTCTTCCCTTTTTTACCTCTGTATTTTTCCTGTCCTCAGCTACTTGAGGGTTAGGCCCTTATCATGATTAACAATTAATTAAGATTAATATATTCATTTAACTCAGGTTGTGGTGTCTCTGCACTATTTTGAGCTCTTTTATGTTTATAAAACTGGGTTCTCCAACTTCATTTGAAGTATCAGAATAAAACAGTTCATCTTAATGAACTCTTGATTTTCAGAAAGTAAGTGGTTATACCAGGACACAGGGGGCTTGTTTTATATTATTTCTTAAGATACTGATTATTGTTTCATTAAATCCTGCATTCCACATGATTTTACAGCTGTTCACAGTAGTTCTTCCACCAGCACCACCACCGTTCTCTAGCAATTTTCTATTTACAGATCCCTCCTAACTCACTCATTAGCTCTCAGAAGAGAGTTGGGATAAAACTATATTCTGTTAACTCAACAAGGGAGGCACGATGTGGCCTTCCCTGGCCAGAATTCTGAGTAAATACTGTGACCACATCTCTGGTGAGTCAGATGCCCAAGGAAATGTTTACATTTTACTGTTTTATAGACTTTCTTTACAACAAGGAATGTGCTATTTTGACTAATGAGCTGTTTATCACTGTTTCCATTGATGAATATAGCTGTCTTTTGGTAGAAAAATGAGAAGTGCTGGAGGGTTTTTCTTCCTTGTGCGTTGGATTTGACAAATAGATGGGCTCCAAGTGACAAAATTCTTACGGTGTAAGTTGCTCAAGACATACACCGATGATCTTAGAGCGCCATCTAGTGTTCCCTGTAGTGTTGTCCCAGCAGCAGAGCCTCTGGGAGAGGAAGTCGGGCACAGTCAACGTCATGGCAGGAGAGTTAAGGAGCCATTATTTGGTGCCACTTATGATCTGTTTTGTTCTTTCTCTTGACACTTTAAATAACTATGCCCTTTTGTGGTGGGGTGCTTGAATTTTTTAGAAACTTGGGAATGATGCTGTCTCCCCGGATTCTTCCAGCCTGGCCTTGAGCAGCACAGAACGGTCGGATGGAAGTGGGGCTGGTAAGTCAGGCCATTGCCATCACCCACTTAGAACAAACTATTACCTTCTGGTCCCAGGAGTCACATGTGATTGACAGAAGGGAAATAAAGATGAAGAGCAAGAATGGACCTTGACTTCCCTAGAAGACCACAGCCCTTCACCTGCCCCAGCTCCACTTAGGGGTGCATTCCCACCACAATAACCTAGCACCTAGATAAGGCACCTTTCCTGATTCCGCAAAGGGAAGAGATTTCATTGAGAAGAACTCCTAAACTGGGGGCATTTGGGGAGGGGAAAAAGAGAGGGGGCATGGCTGATGAAATTAATTATTATTGGAGTGTAATTGACTTAGACCACTGAGTTAGTTCCAGGTGCACACCATGGTGATTTGATATTTCTATTACAAAGTGATCATCACGGCAAGTCTAGTTACCATTTGTCACCATATGAAGTTATTACAATGTTAGTGACTGTATTCCTTCCCCAGGCAGTACATTTCATCCCTGTGGTATACTTATTTTGTCTCTGGAAGTCTGTCTCTCTTAATCTCCCTCACCCCTGTACCCCTCTGGTAACCACCTGCTTGTTTCCTATATCCATGAGACTGTTTTGCTGATTTTTTTAAAAATAAGCCATATATAGTATATAGCATGGAGCCTCTTTAATTGACATGAGGGAACGCTCTCTTCTCTCAGCTTGAACATCCAGGAATATTCAACATCCTTTGTCCCTTTGACGTTTTAGGTGTATTAAGAGAATAAGAGACTTTAGATGGAAACTGGAGAGTAACTTGTTAATTGTTCAGAAATCACCTCATTTTGCTGTTTGACGTTCTTGTGTTGAACTTTAGCATTTTCATAAGGAAATAGTTAGACTATAACTCACGTTCAGCCGGTTTATATTTCCCTGTTATCTGGATAAATTAAGGCAGCAGAAGGGATGGAGGCAGGGCAGGAGATGATGTTCCTGGAGTAGTTCTAACGAAACGTGAGGTTTGGGGCACAGTCTTCCTCCCCCAGAGCCTGCAGCCCGACTCCAGAGTGTCGTCCAGAACAGAGGTGCCTATAGTTGATTATACTGAACCTTGTGCCATATCTAAGGAAGATCTGAGTGCTTCAAATGCATCGAGACCTGCTCTTGCCCCTGTATGCCCCTATGGGCATGTACCCTGTTAAACATGAGGCTTGTCATCCGTGGAATAGTCAGAGGTGATCAGAAGAGCGCCACTGAGTTCACTGTTTTTCTACCAAGAATCTTAGTTTTCCACCAGCATGTTTTGATTCTAAAAACATGCTAGAATAGCATGTTTCTGTTCTAAAATATCTTTGGTGACAGATACAGAAAACAAACTAATGGTCACCAGTGGGGAAGGGCAAGACTGGGGAAGGGGATTAAGAGATACAGCCTGCCAGGTACAAAATAAGTAAGATACGGCTATAATGTACAGCATAGGGAATATAGCCAGTATTTTGTAACTACATTGTATGGAATATAGTCTATAAAAATATTGAATCACTATGTTGTACACATGAAACAAATATTGTAAGTCAATTATACTTCTATGAAATAAAACAGCTGAGAAATTATAAACAACTATAGACGTCTCTAAAGGATTTGTTTCTTTCACATTTGAGTTTTACAGTAAAGTGTTTTTTTTTGTGCCCGTTTTCGTTTTAGTGCCTAAAGCACATCCAGAGAACCGCTTCGGTTTGGGAACCCCAGAAAAGAATGCCAAAGCTGAGCTCAAGGCGGAGGCGGGCTCGAGGCCCCGGAACTTTTCCAACAGGCCCACCAGCCCGAAGCCCCTCCTGCAGGCCCCCAAACCCAACCTGGCGGCGCGACCCACCATTCCGCAGAAACCAAGAACTGCCTCGCGGCCTGGTGAGGACTGGTTTTTGCTGGTCTGGAATTAACCCTGTGACCAGGTGGCTTCCCAAGCTGGAGGGCCTGGGCCTCCACAGGTGGTTTCCAGGGCATCTGGTGAACATGACTGGGGGGGGATGTGTCTGCAGGAGAGGGCCGGGAGAAACCTGCTAAAGTGACCGAGGCTGAAGGGTTCCTTCATTCAGCACCCAGCGCACCCACTCTGGGCCCGTCCTTGCCCTCAGGGCTGTGGGTCGAAGGCAGGATGGGGGAAGCACCCCTGTGTGCCGCTCACTCCCTGGCGGTGCTCGGACCCTTCAGAAAGCCACAGTTTAAGGATGAGAGCCCCAATTAGGGAATGCATAAGTTGCTCTGTTTTTATCTGATATCCTGTGAAATATTTAGGGTTTAGAACAGGGCTGGGCAAACTATGGGCCTGATGTTATAAATAACATGTCAGAGGCACACAGCCCCCACTGTCCGTGTGTACACATATGCACACACTGAGAATTACCTTGCTGGTGATAGAGGAGAGAAAGGGAGTGCAATTCAGTTTTTCCTTTCAATTAGACTGAAACAGGACCGCCTTCAGAAATAAGAGACGAGCTGTTTTGCCATCTTTTTATCTTAGCAGGTCATTTAATCTCTCCAGTTGTACAGTGTTCACTGCAGGCCTTTCTGGTCCTCAAAGTCCATGATTTTAAGTTATTCTAACTGATCTCAGTATGTATATGTAGGTACATGCATCCCCACTCCTGCAAGTACAAACCTATGTTATAGACATATGGTGACCACTGTACTGGATTTGAGAGCAGGTAAAGTCAGTGGGTTATAACCATCACTTATTTGAAGAAAATCAAATGGCCTTTGTGTTTGAGGTAGGAGTATTTAGTTCACCTACAGTCTAATTTTCAAATATCAGCTCATTGAAATTCTGAAACTGAAATTCTATCCGCAAGGTATATTCATATCTGTAGACTTTTAACTCTTTGTAAGTTTTTTCTTTTCTATTGTTTGTTACTTCACTGGGCTATGAAACTAATTTTTGGCCAGAAAAACTATGATGCTTTTTAACAGAGTATTAGTCATTTGTATTTAAAGACTGACCCAGCTTATGCTTTAGGAATCCAGTTTGATGGGTGTCTTTTGTTTCCACAGAGGATGTCCCAGACTCTCCATCCAGTCCAGGTTCTCCTAAAGTCGCTCTTCTTCCACCCGTCTTGAAAAAAGTTCCTGCAGACAAAGAGAGAGATGGCCAGGGCAGCCCACAGCCCAGCCCCAGGACCTTTTCCCGGGAAGGTAAGATATTTTTTCTCTGCATTAGCTCTCCCCCAAGGAGAGTAATTTCTAGAAAAAGGAATTCATCTTGGTTAGAGTTTATCAGTTTCTTGGATTACATTTGGATTACATTTTGGAACCAGAGCAGACTTGATTCAACATTGTTGGTGACACTGGGTCTTAAAGACAGTTACGCTTTTGCTCCTTGTATAGAGTCATTCAGCCCAAAGGTCTTTGTAATAGTAATCTCTAGCTGCTCCTGAACTGACCCCTCGTGTATTAGGAATGCCAACAACATTGTTCTGTGACTGTTCGGGGCTACCTGTAGGTTTCTAGGTTCCACTGTGTCTCAGAAGAGCTCCCCCTGGTGGTCAGTTTTTGTCACTATGGTTTAGGAGTGGCTCACACAGGCTTGGGAGACCCCGTAGATGGTTAGCTTGCGTAGTCGTGAAGTCAGGTGATCCTCATTCTCAGATGTGTCACTTGCATGGATGTTCTCATAGCATTGTCATACCAGTATGTTTCTTTTACTTTGCTGGGGTGGGAGCAGAGCAAGATAATCCCAGGGCTTGAATGCTGTCTCCCAGAATCAGATCAAATATTGTCATCTGTGGAGGCGAGGTGTGTTTGGGCTGACTTTTGCACCCCACCTTGTCTCTCCCCACTTCTCCCATTCTGTTCAATGTGCAGTTACCTGTCTATCATCAAGTGTAATTGCCAACTCTAAGCCCAACCTATTAAGAAATTATCTGGAGCCATCGTCGCCCATGTCCAGATAGCTCTCAGCGTGGTTTGGGGTTGCTTGGTTTTATTTTAGATTGTTTCATGCTTTAGAATTCTTTAATCGCTCTGACTGTGACATCTTCCTACCGTGGCTCATTTTCTTTTGGGTTGAAATTAATGGGGAATGTTTCTGAGTACTGTCTGTTGATTGAGAGTGTCATAAAAAATAGCACAGCCTGCTTTCTTATCTCTGTTCTGCAGCTTTATTTGATGTGAACAAACTTCACTCACCTGCTGGCTGTAAATTAAAGAAGGTGGGGGTTTTTGACCAGAGCTGATAAACTAGTCTGTCAAACAGAGAAACTAAAGTAATTGAATGATGGCTGACACTTAGAGTCATTTCACACTGGGTGATCAATAAATACAGGACTCAGTATTATAGCCACAGCCTTTGAAAGCCTTAGTCTAGAAAGAGGAATTAGTTGTGGTTTCAGGTCAGAGTGACTGCCTGCTCAAACCACACAGTCCCTTCCCCATCCTACCCTCGTCTTTCCCTTTCTGCAACTGCTATCTTTGTGTCTTTACTTACAAGGAAGCTTTGAAAAATGTCTGAAAGAATTTTGTTGGTGAGAAATGGGAAGGCATGGAGGAGTAGTGAGGGTAAGTAGGAATGTTCATCTTGTCAAAAGCAATTGGAAATATGGACTGATTGAAAAGAAAAGGGCTGAGGGCTGAACAAGAAATAATTGCTTAACATTTTTGAAAAATGACATTTTCTAAGATGCCTAAGATGAGGCCCAGAGTAACCCACCAGCCTCCTGAGTAAAAGAGCGTGTACCATGGTGCCTCTAGCATTAACCAAGAGGGTGAAATACTGGATGCTACAGGCAGATCCTTGGCTGCTTTGAGAAAGTTAGGAATGAATGTGTTGCTTGTCAAACATATCAGGGCTTCACAGGTAGATGCTTGATTCCCTTCCCCACGCTCCCAGTAGCAAATGCTATGGATGGTTCACACCCCCCCATCTTTCCAGCTGAAGACTGGAGAGCTACAGAAATCACTGCTTTCCCATCTGGGATCCAGGATAATCTCTGAGATCATTCTGATGGTGTTGCCTGAAATTGGACTCGAAAATATACATGAGGTCTCAGAACAGCTGGTAAATGTCGGAGGTGGTAATGTTTCGACTTCAGTTTATCTTTCAGCTGGCCCACTAACCTGGCCCAGGAATGAGAGCCACTTGCGAGCCCTCTTTCCCTTTAGAGAACTGTTCCCGTCGTCCCCATTCCTCCTTTCTTGTATGTTATTCACGCCGCTGACTTCATTTCCTTGTTCTGTGCCTCCCCTCTGGACTAGCGTGCCCAACTCATTTCTGAATCAGGTAAACGGCTGCGCTGCTTCTGGATGATTCCATAGTGAGTGTGAATTTCGTTAATCCATCTTGGAATTGAAACAGTAACGCGGGGGCCTTTCTGTCAGTGATATTTTGGGGGCAGACTCGGAGCTCACCTCATTTTGCACGACATTTCCATAATGTTGGCTGTTGAATTCTGTAGATAATGGTATATCTGTTCAGGACCAACACTGGAGGTACCTTGAATCTTAAGTGGGGTGGGTAAGCTGATATTTAAGTTTTAATATTAATATTTTTTAATATTAATGTCAACACGGTGATGTATTTGCTACTATAAAGGGTAAAATGGATCCCTTTTCCTCAGTAGTGCAAAGAGGAGATTATTACAAAAGGCATTCAGATCATGACAGTGGCAAGCCTTCCGGTAGAGGGAAAAGACCTTCAAAACTGTACTCCACCATTGCAGAAGAGGAAGTGAATGCAATTGGGCACAGGAAGTCACAGCCAACAAATGGTTAGAGTCTTCACTTATCATCCCTCACTGTCCCAAAGCTTATGAACTGGCACTAACAAAAACAAACCTTGAGTAACTTCTAGCCTGGGACTGGGTCAGGGATCGATCATACAATTGATTTTTTTTCTAAATGGCAGCAGGATGGTCCTTCCATTGGGGGGCAAAAAGTATTGCCTTAAAAAACTAAAATCAGAAATTCTTACGAGGAGGACCAAGTTACTTGGGATTATGGTGACTTGTCCTTTCAAATTTTTGTGATCATGGAGGTTGATTTTTATATTTGGGGTCATGTCTCCTATTCTCTTCCTTTCTCTCTTTACTCTTCTCTTAGATTTAAACTGGGATGAGGTCAGAAATTAAGAGCAACACGGTTACCTTTAGAGAATGTTAGCTAAACACCTTACCTTACACTCTTCTAGCAAAGGATACAGGTAATCTTTCAGTGGACACTTTGTAACCCTGTAGGAAGAAAGGAAAAGTACCAATTTACTTTTGAACCTCTTATTATTATTTTACAACAGCTACCCAATAAGTGTCTTCCAATTTTGACACTGTATACATCCTGTAAAGTTCTGTTCAGGTGAGGATGGTCCCAGGCAACGGATTTTAAACCAGCTTTTATCTCTAGTGGGAAATTTTAGAATAAGTACTGCTGACTCAGAGAGGAATCCACATTCTGTTTGGGCCTGGCAGCACCTGCCCTAGAGGAAAACAACTGACTTGTTTCTTCATTTTTAAAGGGTTTCCTGTGGTAGGTGTGTTCAGAGTCACATAGCTTGTCTCTGCAAGAGATTTTTCAATATTTTCAAGAAAATCTGTTATCTTCAAGCCATATAAATTACAATAAGACATTTTCTGAAAAAAAAATTTATATTAAATCAGAAGCTCTATATTGCCTCTTTTGATAAGGACACCCAAGGTTACCCAGATATTGCTAGATTTTGGAAATTTATATTTGCACTGTTGCATCAGTTGACTTATAATCATTTGTTGTTAACAAAGAACGCTTCATGCAATGTAACGTTCATTTTTCACGAGACCACCAACAGCACTTTATACAACACGTGGATGAAGATCCCACCTGCCATACCACACTGATCATCCAGTGAGGTTCTGAGTTAGAGTAGAAATAAGATGAAGCCAGAGAAAAGCCAGATTCTAGAAAGGCAAGAAATTCTGTCTCTCTGATTTTTTTTTTTTTTCCTTTTTGATGACCTCTTTGGTTTAAAACTCTCATTGTGACGGGCTACATCAAATTTTGATGGAATTCAGTAGGACCATCTTGATTTGCTTTCCTGCCTAGATTTCTTGAGATATGAACAGGAACCAAAAGCATAATTTTTGGAGGAGCTTCAGTTAAAATAATCTGATGTACAATATTTTAATCTTGTTTTGTTAGTGCCGATTCCCAGCACTTGTCTTCACCCCTGAGAATTGCATAGCAGTCTGCTTTCTGAATAGTTTGTTAACAAATGCATTTAGCAGAGCAATTCTATTAAACCACAGTGTGTAGTTTTCTTTAAGTATTTTAAGAGCAGGTTTGTTTATGCTAAAACAGCTTTCTTACCTTCCTAAATCATGTCTCTGTGAAACAAACAGAAGCTTTTGTTCTCAAAGCATGCTGCCTATTTTTATCATGGTTATTATGTTTTAATTATGTGGCTATTTTAATATTGAGTTGACAGGTAAAATGCTTACTTTCTTTTCCTGGAAGTATTTGTAATTACATCTTTCGAATTTCAGATCATTTCCTCTCTACATTTAATATAAGCTGTGATGTCTTCATTAGAGTATGTCCTATTTTCTTGAAAAGAGTTGGTTTGACTTTGTATGCATTGTAATGTATCCTATTTGGACAGGCCATCCTACTCTGAGATTCCTATAGTGTATCACTTGCTTCTTCCATAATTCAGCCTATAGCCAACAAATATTTGGTTGTGGCTAATAATCTGTAACCCGGTGCTATGTTCCCCATTTTTCGCCAGATCTGGGTTCTACTACCCCTATGTGAATTCAACAGTTCATTGACACTCGGTGCTTGTCAGAAAATATTTCAAAAAGGTCATCATGTTTTTCTCCTGGGAAATATGAATGTCAGTGGAGCTTAAAATAGAGAAAAGCTCAAATTTTTATATCAATCTCTAATTCTGAATTTATATGCACATTTCAGATGCTCTAAAATTAGCATATATGTGTTTGCATATATATATGCAAACTCAGATCATCTTCAAGAATGACAGATTTCACATTTGAGCCTATCAGTTATCAACACTGAAGACAGGATATGAATAATATACATAGAATGTTTCTGTTGAATAAATTGCCTGTTTACTTACTCAGGTATCTTTTATAATTTTAACGGTACCTGGAATGGTAATAAATGTGTATAGACATATAGAGAAGCTCTTGAACTTTAATGTATGAATTGTTGCATTAAAGTAGTAAAACAGTCTTTAAGAGAAAGTTTCTCTGAATTAGTAAGAAGTCTGAATTCAGAAATACTGAACCTACTTAAATATAATTGTAATTTTGTAATTACTGTCCTAATTATATGCAATCAAATAATGCTGTCTAAAGGCTGGAAAACAAATGACAAAGAACACACCTCCTACTAAGGTCGTTTGCAGTAGCAATCTGGACTAATACCAACAAACTCAAGTGAGTTGTGCAAACAGTTCCTTGATCTCACCATGCCTCAGTTTTCCTGTCCAAGAATGGTGCCTTACCTATGATACAAAGAAAATGTCAGCCTGGTACTAGACCCATTATCACATTTACAACTGGTAGAGTTAAATCAATGAAAGTGAATATTTTTAGAATGAATTTTTAAATAATGTCACCACCATAGTGAATTGCATTGACAGTCCTCCAGAAACAGCATGTCATTATTCCTCTCAGTGACTATGCCAGACAAATGAGAAGTTCTGCTCTCATGACTGGTACCAGGTCAGCTCTATGTCACCAACTCAGCCTGTTAACTTGTGTACACCCCCGCCCCTCCCTGCCGGCCTGGAGGACTCAGAAGCTAGTGTCACTTGGATGGAGACTGAAGGACAGTCTTACTTTTTGCAGGAAGATTCCTGTGTTGGATTGGTACTCAATTTCAGTTAGTCCTGGTCCAGGGTTCTTGGTTTTTATCTGTGACAGAAACGCATTTGATTATAGGAATTTCTCCATTTTTAGAGGGTATTCTTGAGGTCATATCATATGACATCAATTAGACCTGGGATTCTGAGGATGTTATAACTATTGGGAAGAAGGAAAAGGTTTTTTAAATCTAAGAACATAAGCTAATAGATAAACAAGCAATATATCAGCATACTTCTTCCTTTGAATTTGTAGTGTTGGAAATTTGAGTGATACTTATTTTAGTTTTAAAATGAATAAGATTTTCTAGCTGATTTCACTAGTAATGATCTGTTTTGAGGTTAGATTATTGCAAAGTATTTCAAGATCAAAATACAATAAATTTTCTCTGCTAACCCCTGCTCATAGTAACACAAGTTCAGAACTTAAATATTATTACTATTAAATTAATTTGTGAGAAAGGAAAAATTTATAGAAAATTACTCACCTTTCCCCCCCAAACCTGGCTTGTTAACAACTTTCAAAGGACCAAACACATTTAATTTTTTCTCCCAAGTCAAGCTAAAAACAATAATCAATATAATAGTTATTCTTTGCTTTTCCCCTCCATCTGAGAATTTGCTCAAAACTTTTTTAAAAATTACTTTTTAAAAAAAAAAATAAAATTACTTTTTTATCATGAAATTTTATCCTTTTATAAGAATTTTGAGTAAGTTCAATGTAATTAACTAAAACTTAAATTTTTATTGTCTAGAGATCAGAATCTGGCCCTGACAGCAGGATTGGCAAGAGAAGTATTTTATTATGTTTGCATTTTGCCTATTAGGTTTCATGAGCTTTCACTTCCTAAAACAACATTCTTTAGCAGATGAAACATTTAAAAAGCCAGTTGCTGGCAAGATGGGTTTTTTTTAACATAATGCTAACATGAAAATGATTCGAAGCATCAAATGAGTCCTCTTGCTTTTCCAGGACTGTGTTCCTGGTTAGATATTTAATCTTCTGAGTAGTGAGGTAGCTGCACTCTTTCCAGCCACACAAAGTGCATGGGCTTGGTATTTTTAGCTTTTAAGTGATATCTCTACAATAGACTTAGTGAGTAATATTTAATAACTCTTAACAGCCACGCTGCATCTGGACCTTTCCCAAGGTATTGTAGTAGAGAAGCTATGACTTAGTTGAAAAGCATGGGTTTTGGAGAAAGATTTAATTTAAACCCCAATTCCAAGTTTTATAGAACCTACTCAGTAGTTGTGGAGAGTAATGGTGATAAAACACAGTGCCTGGCAGGACACATCACAAGGGTTCGTTCCGTTTTTTTTCTCTTCCTTGTTTTTTGGTTCCCCCTTTTCCCCGGGCACCAACCTTGGCGTTTTTTTTTTTTTTTTACCTGGAAGCTGTTCCTAAAGGATTGAATAGAGGCAGCATTAATTCATTTCCACAAGACTTTATTCCATTTCCTAGAGAGTGAAACTGAGGTTTTCTGAGACACAGAAGGGCCTGACAGAGATCACTGCGGGGCCTCCTCATATCCTGTCCTTGAAGCAGGATGGCCAACCCCAAATGGTGTGCAGAAGGCAGCGGATGGAATACCTGTCCAGCAGTGCCACCTCCGGGCTCTGTGCTGCATGAACGGGCAGCTGTGACCGAGGAGGTCCCCCTGGACAGAGTGGCTTCCGCGTTCTCCCACCCCCACCCTCCCCTGCTGGGGTGCTCACCCTCAGATGGTCAACCGCATCTATGAGAGGCACACCCTCTCATAGACTGGGGTTTTCATGTTTTCTGTGTTGTTTTGTTTTTAATTTCTGTTTAGAGTCTTGAAATGTACTTGGAAAATTGTTTCTGAGAAAGTTCATCTCAAGCCCTCCCACACTCTTCAGGGCCCCTGCCTATCTCAGCCCCTTACTGCTCAGGCCACCAGCATCTCCTTGTTCATCAACCGTAATGACTTTCTTCCCTTCCCTTCAGTGTCCAGGAGAAGCTGGAGCCAGCAGGCCCAGGAGTGTCAAGAGCAAAAGCAGTGGGCCTCCAGTAAAGACGGCCAGCCGGGCAGCAAATCCAGCGACTCTGGGGAAGAAGCAGAGAGAGAGTATATTTTTGTGTAACGGTCGCCCACGAGAAGTCTTACCATGAGGGGTGCTTCTGTTAGCCATCAGAGAGGAACCAAGGGCAACATCTCTTTCTTCTGAGCAGCTGTCTCTTGGTGCTTTTTTCTTTCTCCTTTTTTCCTCGAGAACCAAAACAAATCCATTTCTCGGGAATCAAAGCACAGGTTTGATCTCTCCCAACCCTTGGCATTTGATTTCTATGCACTCCTTCATCTGCCTTCAGCGAATGCCAGCATTACCCCATGGGCCCTACTTGAATTTCTCTGAGGCAGCTAAAGGTTGCCCCGTCAGGTGAGTTTGGGGAGGTAAACGAGGTCACTGGACACACACTTCTACGTGACTCCATCCAGCTGACCGTGGGCACTGCTGCATGTGGCTGTGTCAAACCTGCACTTGACTCGATAGAGCAGTCTATTCTTGATGTATGCAATTGCACTGTAATTAACAGAGCACACTAATAGTTTGTATAAATTATATATATCAGATCTTGGGGATGGTTTTTACATTCTCCCATGGGGAACTTCTTCCTTCCTTCTTCTTCCCGATGTGGAATTGTACATTTACATTTGGTACGGTGACCTTTGTGACACCAACAAGCGAGTTGAGAACCGAGTGAAAGGCCCATGGCGGATTCTACCATGCACCCAGATTAATGTATATAGTTGATTGGAATGAGGTTTTTATGAATATTCATGTTTTTTTGAAGGCCTTTAATTTCTGTTCTGCATATTAGCTTTTAATGTGTGATTAAGAGAGATACTTTGACACCTGTAAAAAATCAAAATACTACTTTTTAAGACATTTCACAAATATTCACTTACATTACAGGCTGAGGTATTTTATTCATATGTATATTTATACCAATAAAATGATTTTACAAGTGGAATTTTGACTTTCTCCAGTGATTTTTTAGTGGGGATTGGCTTGTGGTGATGAGCTTTGTTTTCTAAAAATAATAATAATAATCACACAATAATCACAGTTCCCAGATTATCAAAAACCTATTACACCCTAAATAAATGCAACTTGCTGATTTCATGGCCTGCTCTTACCTTTGGGGAAAACATGAAATTCATCAAAAGGTTATGAGAGTCCACGAGAGCCCACTCATCAGGCCAGATAATGGAGTCGGGGCTGGAGTCTCTGAAAAATCCCAAGACACTGTGAGATGAGCAGGACGACTGCTGGGAGAGGTCTGGGAATCTTCACCAAACAATAAGTTACAGATCATGGTTTTCCTACTGGTGCCATGTGCAGGCCCTTAACTAAGAATGAGGCTATTGGTAATTCACACCCCATCTCAGGTATACCAAACAGGGGCTCACAACCCAGGAATCACTTTGTTTTGAGGATGCATTCTTTGTCTAGTTAGACTGGGCAGGCTGACCTTTCATTTTCCCTTAGTTCAGCATTGGATGGTCTGGGTCCCCGGAGCACCTGCTGTTTGGCTGACGATTGGTGAGGCACGTGTCGGGTGTTGGAAAGAAGTCAGTGCAATTATAAAACGGCCACTGAAAATTCAGGAAGAGGGAAACAGACAGCTGGTTAATCAGGCGGGGAGATCCGCCCTGGGGAGGGAAAGATGTCACACGTTGACCCCGCCCCACGCTGGCCCATTTCCGGTGTACTCCAGGTGCTTCTGTTCACTATCCACCTTCTCTCACACTGTTTACAGAACAGTGTTCCCAGAGAAAATTTTGCAAACTTGAAGGGAAAATGATTCATTTTATCTTTGCAAAAGAAAATGTACAGAAAAATAACAACAGAAAATCGCAGGAGGCAGGACAGCCCTGATTTTTCAGTGTTACACCCATCCTCGATCCCAAATGTGTGGACTTACCTGGTGGTCCAGTGGTTGAGACTCCATGCTCCCAATGCAGAGGGTCCAGGTTCAATCTCTGGTCAAGGAACTAGATCCCACAAGCTGCAAGATCTCATACGCTGCAACTAAGACTCAGCATAGCCCAGTTGAAAAAAAAAAAAAAGAAATCCTGAGTGGACAAATCCTAAATTGAGATGGCCACGAAAAGATTTAGACTTTTAGCTCTGGATTAAAAGCACTGCCCACGTGTGACCCAGCAGTAGAAACCAAGTGGTGTTCATTTTCATCCTGTCCCTCTTTTTTTCTTCAGAGCAAGAATGTTAACCAATGCCTTCTCTAGCTTGTTGAAGGAACCCAGTGGGAGGTCTTGGTGGAAGGCTGTAGATTGAGTCTGACCCTCATTTCCACTGTATAAGATGCTAAGAAAATGGAGGTTTCAGACCCTCAAGGTTGTTACTACAATGTTTGGGGCTCCTAAGGTACACAGTCCACTGGAAACCTGTATTTCCAACACCCACGTCTTTTCTCTCCTGAGTTTAGACTGGACAAAACAAAACTATAGAATCCATGGTATGGTCTCTTCAATAAGTGGTGCTGGGAAAACTGGACAGCTGCATGTANGAAACTGTAAACAAAACAAAAAGATAACCCACAGAATACAAGAAAATATTTGCAAACAAAGCAACCAACAAGGGATTAATCTCCAAAATACACAGACAGCTCATTCAGCTCAATGTCAAAAAAGCAAACAACCCAATCAAAAAATGGGTGGAAGATCTACACATTTCTCCAAAGACATACAGATGGCCAAAAAACACATAAAAAGATGCTCCCAACAACACTATTAAAGAAATGCAAATCAAAACTACAAGGAGATATCACCTCACACCAGTCAGAATGGCCATCATCAAAAAATACATGCTGGAGAGGATGTGAAGAGAAGGGAACCCTCCTAAACTAGAGAAGGGAACCCTCCTAAACTGTTGACGGCAATGTGAATCGGTACAACCACTACAGAGGGCAGTATGGAGGTTTCTTAAAAAACTAAAAATAGAGCTAGCATATGATCCTGCAATCCCACCCCTGGGCATACATCTGGAGAAAAACAGGGTCTGAAGGGATACTTGTACCTCAGTGTTCATTGTAGCACTGTTTACAATAGCCAGGGCACGGAAACAATGTAAATGTCCATTGACATAACAGTAAAGAAGATGTGGCACAAATATGCAATGGAATATTATCTGGCTATTAAAAAGAATGAAATAATGCCATTTGCAGCAACATGGATGGACCTAGAGACTGTCATACTGAGTAGTTAGAGCAAGGCATAAAACCACTGCCTGTGGTCCCTGACCTGGCCTCAGGACCACACCGCCCAGCCCCCTGCAGTCCTCACAATTGGTGCTAAGTGCCGGAGAGGCCGTATAACAGCAGGCCTCAGGGTGAGAGGAATGGCGCCCCTCTCTAGCAGGGGGCCTGGATTACTTACCTTAGTCCTCTTAGGTGGGGCCGGAGAGGAGGAGACAGGTGAGACCTGTTAAGTCCTTTTCTAATCCTCTTTGCCACAAGGTGGCAAACCCAAACCATGGGGACTTAGCTGCCAGCCTCATGGCCATGTTATAATGTGCTCTCTTGGGGTAGATACTGTGACAAGGACAAAAGTGTTACTGTTCTGACCAATAGCTGGCAATGGTCCTTCGGTAGTCAACTGCTGAACTTGGATGGTGTTGACCAGTTGCCTCTGGGTTACCATGGCGTCAGCACTGTGACCAGCACTCCTGGGAGGTGTCCACACGATGAGGGAGGGGGTTTCCCATCTCAGCTGTTGAAGCAGCTCATTCATAGCCCAGCAGCAGTGGGTTTGGGAGGCAGGGGGAGATGCTGGTGTGTGTGTTTCTCATCAGCCCACTCCTGAACTTCATGGCCGACAACGTGGATTCCCTGGTCACTCCTGATGTCTGTGGAGGTCCTGTATGTTGCGCATCCAGCACTTCTAGCCCCCAACAGTGTTTTTATGCCTTGCTCAACCACCTGGGTGGGCGTTTTTAATGTCTTCACCTGTTGTGACAGAGACATCAATGGTATATCAGTCAGGGTAGCTTACGCACCTGTGTTCCTTAGCAAACACCCGAGCGGATGGATGGGCCGGGCCTACAGACCCTGATGTCCAGGTGGAAAATGAGGCCTTTGGGGGTATCTCCCCAGCCCCCTGGTCTTTTCTCACCCCTTTCTTGTCCTTCGGCTAGTGGGTGAGAAAGGGGTTGTGTGCCTGGGTTTGTGGGTTCTGTGGACCTCAGAGGCCCAAGGAGAGCAGCAGAGGGTAGGAAAGGAGCACCCCTAGTGGCCCTGGGTCTGAGGGCCATCCTACCATCCAGGAGGGACCCGAGAGGCCTCGGGGATTGAACCTGTCCACGAAGGAAAGCAATCAACTCAGCCCTGTTGCCGAAGAACTGCCTGCTCTGGGAGGATCGCCCTGCAGACAGCGAACAAGCTTTGTCAGCCACTCTAACCCTTGAATAGCTTAAAAAAAAACAAACAAAAACCCTCTGTGTCACTAATGAGTTCAGTTGAAACAGGGAGGAGGAGATAAAAACAAATAGTTCAGGGAGCATGAACATGTTAATGAGATTGATTCTTCCTGGAAAGGGCAAGAGGAAGAAACTCCCACTCTGCTAAATCCAATTTTATTTAATTGAAAACGGGCCTGAAGTTTGCTTTCCAATCAACCCTGAAAGGCAAACACAGCAAGACCCCGAGGTGAACAAGGGGAGGTCGGCAGATCCCAGAGTCCTGCACCAGCAGTGAGGCACAAGGAGCCACAGTGACCGTGACCGACACAAGAAAAGCAGCAAGAACCCATGTACCATGTGAGTGTTTTGTGAATTTCACACTGGCATCTTGCTTTTGAATTTCCAAGTATTCAGGCTGTGGGGAGCAGGAGTAGGTGACCTTCTAGCACATAAGTGGCCCCCTTGAGGGAAGACAAGGCAGCGGCCAGTGTCACTACCTACAGCAAGAATCGTCATGGATTAAGAAGAAAGAATGAAATGTACCTTATTGTCTCACTCCCATTCCCAGGGAGGCCCAGCTTGGATGAGGAACCACGCAAGACACCCAGAGACTGGAGGGATGGCAAATCCCCGATGACAGGGTCAGACGCTGCACTTCCACAACCCAATCTGTCTCACTGATTCCCCAGGTCACTGGTCCCATGGAATCTGGCTTCAGAGCATATTGTCTCCTCTGTGTCCTGACTCCTGAGAACATCTGCAGTACTTGACTGGCTTCTTGCCACCAGGGATGGCTTCTCATTTGGTTTTTTGTTCAATATTTTGCTGAGCACTTAGCATTCAAGGAGATGGTCTGGGTGCTTACCTGTTAAAACAGCTCCCATCCTCTGGCTCATGGAGCTAACAATCTAAAAAAGAAGACAGAAAATAAACAAGGAAGTTAATGAATGACATCATGTCTCATATGAGTGCTCTGCATGGCAGGGGAAAAGGCAGTGATGGGAAGAGAGATTTCTTTTCTTCTTACCCTATTGTTTTTCTATTAATTTACACTTCCCCCATTGTGGTGGGTGCTAGGAGGCACCACCCAGATCTCCTTTTAGGAGTAACATATTTATGACTTCAGCTGCCAGCTCCTTGGGAGCTTGTCTCAACTAAAGAGAGCTGACTTGCCCAAGGTTACACCCCTTCCCTGGTGGCGCATCTGAGGGCCGATGAGTGCAGGAGCATGAAGGCCCAGACTTTCCAGCTCAGAACAGCTGTGAAAAGTGACCCCATCTTCAGACCCCTCCACAGGGTGGGCTGAGGTCTTCACTGAGACAGCATCACCGCTCCGAGTCTCCCTCTGCCCCGTCCTGGTGCCTTCCCTCCTTTGATCCCAAGAACACTTCCCAATAATCCTCCTACACACCAGTCTCCATCCTGGGGTCAGGTTTTTGGTGAACCCAATCAGTGACAACTTTAAACGAGATGAATTTAAAGTACTTCATGTAGTTACATTGAGCTTATTTAACAGAACATATTATAGTTCACATCAAATATTCATGGGGTGGACCACAGAAAGGGCTTCCCTGGTAGCTCAGAGGTTAAAGCTCTGCATGGAAGGCGGGAGACCCGGGTTCAATCCCTGAGTTGGGAAGATCCCCTGGAGAAGGAAATGGCAACCCACTCCAGTACTCTTCCTTGCCTGGAGAATCCCATGGAGGGAGGAGCCTGGTAGGCAATAGTCCATGGGGCAGCAAAGAATCGGACATGACTGAGCGACTTCACTTTCACTTTTCAGACCACAGAGAGCCTCTAACACCTCTGGGACTGTAAGCCTGGGTTCCCTCCCCTGCAAACACTAGCATTCTATCTTTTTTCCAGGAGGGCTGAGAGACTGGAGGACCTGCTCTTCTCACTCAGCCTCTTGGTATTTCCTGGCCTGAGGGAAGATTCTCTTGGCCCCTGCATTTCCTCTAGGAGAGCAGCCCCATCTTCCAGTAGCAGAGGATGCATAACTTGGGTTCTGGAAACATCCAGACGTTCTCTCTCAGCTTCTCTCCGGGGCCACTGCTGTCTCTCTTTTCCGCCTTGAAGAACTGGGCTGTGAGCTCTTCATTAACCATTAATGAATAAATACTTACAGGGCATCTGCTATGTGCCAAACACTAGGCTATGAACCTCCTCTCTCCTTGGAAACCACACCTGGTCCTCCATTTCCAGAGC